CACACACACACACACACACACACACACACACACACACACACACACACACACACACACGGCATTATTTATGTGTGTATCTGCAGAAGCTGGTCTGTATTTTTCAACCTCTGCATCCCCCCACCGTGATGGTCTTCTGCCTGCATGAGCACCAACAGGACACTTTCAGGTGGAACAGCTCAAAGAACGATTATGTACATGTTTTATGCTAATAAATGGATTTTTAAACACTTGTATGCCAATAACAACACAATTATTTTAAAAAGTGAAAACATCTCTCACGTTTCACGTTGCATCTGCAGCTTTATTGTTTGAAAAAAGACAGTCCAAATTAGACTCAAAGGGATTTCCTGTCGCATCTTCCTTTATTTTTTCTTCAAAATATGCCGATATTTGATATGATAAACGTGTTAACAGAGGGGTTACCTGCAAGCTCTTTTAGAGCACACAGCCTCTCTAAATCTCCTGGTTTGTGTGTTTGAGTCACAGATCCAGCCTGCCTCCCTGATCCAGACATCACAACTCCTGGTGAGATCCAAACCTGTAACCTCCACGTTGTGAAGCGACATTAGCATACATTTCTCACTGCCCACTTCCCCGCTGCAGACCCCACACTTACTTAGTTTTATTTTTAATTTTTTTTTTTGCTTTTTACCCATGATGTTTCTATGGAAACCCCAGCTATTGAGGTTATCAATGAGATATTTCCGATGTAAGCTTGAAAACTGTAGTCAGTGTAAGTCATTGAGCTTTCAAATAATTCAGCAGATTTTCTATTTTCACAGCATAATGATATCAATAAAATCCACTTTGGTTTCATTACAGAAAGTAAACTTTTAAGATTTATAGTTGGAGTTCATGAAAAAAACGAGAAGTATTGGGATTAGGCTGTCCAATATTGATTGGAATAAGCTGAGAACGGCACTGAAGTTCAAGTACGAATCAATAAAAAGATGAGAAACACTTGTAAGAAAAAGTTTATAGGTGCTGACATTTAGACTGTTCTGTACTTCTTTGTGTTTTAAAACTTTGAATAAACCCCTAAGTAAAAGCCCGAGTAGGGTGAAAATAACCCAGAATTGACCACAAGTCGTCTAAGATGATGCACATTTTGTTCCACTACATTCAAAATGCAGTTTTTAGCAGTGAACCTCTGCCCATCTTTACTAGTGAATCAATGTCTCTAAAATGCTCTTTTTTCAGCACTTTTACTGACAAATTTCCAATTAAAGGCACAGTCTGTAGGATTTTGTCAAGTCTTTTAGCTGAAATTGAGATAATCACTAATGACAATAATAAAAAACATGTCTAATCATTGCAGACAAAGACCTTGTTTTATTATTTTTACCTTATAAAAAGCTGTTTATATCTCCATGGTCACGGGTCGCCCTACAGGCAGCCGCCATCTTGTCTACGAAGACTCATGAAGGACAAACTGCGGTGGCGGCATCAAAAACGGTTTTAGTTGTAATACTATAAATGTAATATTTGTTGTCTGTCATTGTAGCTGGGATAATTTTACTTATTAAAGCTCATAATCTTACCACTTGAAACATCACTAGCCCTGAAGCTGCTGGTAGACATGGCGGTTGGAATTATCAAAGGTTTTTGACACCTGAGAGACACCGTAGCAACTCCTTTGCATTTGGAAGGGGGGTGGGGGTGGGGGACCAGGGAGGATGATTCAACCACTCAACCACTAGATGTCGCTGAAAACAACAAATCCTACACACTGTGCCTTTAAACTAATTGCAAAACACTCCTCTAGCTGTTTCTTACTGACATGATCCATTGTATGTTTTTTTTTGTACATATCTTGTTCCACAATGTTTGTGTTATTTCAACAATCCATATATCAAACAAATCAGCGCCTTCAGGACATCGTAGCTATGATTTTTTGGTATTTCAGCAATTTGTACGTTTTTAGATAGTTAGCTTCTCTGGCCATTTTTGTTCACATCATTTTAATTACTTCCCTGCTAATTTAATTTTTTGTCTATTTTACAACAAATTGCAAAATTATTGTGCTTTTTTTCAAACATTCATGCTGCATTTTTGCAGAAAATGTGAATTCTCTAGTTTGTATTGCATTTTTAACCTTTTGTTTTTTTGCCCCTATATTTTTCAAATATAAAAAATAATTCAAATTCTTCATTCTTCTTTTCTGCATTTTGTTATGGATAAAATAGGAATTTATGAGATATACAAATCATAGCAAACCTTTTAAAATGTACATGTTGCTCGTAGGCCGAGACCTCATTTGGTTTCTTTTCCTGCTTTCAGGATTTACCAGACATGCTGTACTCATTAGGTGAAGATTTGAAAGTAATCTGCCTTCAGACTCTGTAAAGCTCCACTCGTTTCTCCTTCAACCAGCTAAGTCTTCCAACCTGACAGGATGCAGCAAGCGCTGCTCGGCACCAAGTGGTGGGGTGGTTCTGCCCTTTACTGGCCTCTCCACATGTTCCTGCTGGAGATGCTGACACCAGGAGTCCTGCCCAGCATCTCCAGATTACCACCCTCAGCCAAGCGGGAGATCATCATCGATGGGGACTTGGTGATCGGAGGCTTGTTCCCCGTGCATGAAAAAGGCGACGGGACGGAGGACTGTGGGAAGATCAACGAGGAGAGAGGGATCCAGAGGCTGGAGGCCATGCTGCTGGCCCTCGATGAGATCAACTCCAGCGACCGCATCCTTCCTGGACTGGAGCTGGGCGCCCACATCCTGGACACCTGCTCCAAGGACACGTATGCTCTGGAGCAGTCTCTAGATTTCGTCAGGGCCTCCCTCACCAAGGTGCACGACCCAGGCTTCATCTGCCCTGACGGCTCCAGACCCATCCAAAACGAGGTGCCGCTGGCCATTTCTGGAGTTATTGGAGGGTCCTACAGTGACGTCTCAATTCAGGTAAGGAGGCAAGTTCAATACACGTTTTGGTTTCCTTTGATAGTGGGTTTAACATTCAAGAAGTTTGATTCTCAGAAAAGGTGAAAAATTGGGTGAGCAAAACAAAAATATAAAAAAATCTATTACTGCCAATGTTTTCTTCTTTTTTTAATTCTTTGGCCTGTTTTGTGCAGTTATTTGATTAATTTACTGTTTGTACAACTCATACAGTATATCAGGCCTTTCAGTAAATTGTTCACTTGATGTTTACACGGTTGAAAATATCCTCAGATCAGTCTACAAGAAGACTGTAACTGGCTCATTTTAAAAGAATTTGCAACTGGGCTCAAAATGAGTCAGCACTCCTACTCACTTTTCTTTTGTTGTCTTTTGGTCAAACAACAACAAAATCAGCATTTAGAAGCTACTGTAAAAAATAAAAAGTTGGATTTAATTAACCATGTTATGTTACCTGGTTCCACTTAACTGAGATGAGTAAATTCAAAGAAATATACCAGCTTTTTAACCAAAGAACATGAGTATGTTGCTTTGAATTTACTCAACTCAGTTAAGTGGAACCAGGTAACACAACATGATTAACTAAATCCAACTTTTCATTTATAGCTAAATGTTTTTTTATGTATCAATCAAACATTTAAAAAAGAAGAACTCTGCGACTAAAATGTCTCAATTTCTACAGAGGATGACAGAAGGATGATTAATTTATGGTAATACTGGAATTTGTATAGAATCCTCAAAAACCCAAACAAAATAAAATTTTATTCATGTTATTTCCTAATTAATCCTGTTATACCTGAGCTTAAAGTGAAAGTGTTTTTCATATTAAACAGCTGAAATTCCTAAAACCTTCCTATTATTTGCATATGAAAACATTGCATATGAAATTGAGAATTTGCTTCATTTTATGCTCAAATCCCAGAATATTTGTTAACTTATTAGTTTGATTTAATAAACAGCTTCATACTCACCATATTTTTGAAATGAAGTTTGTGAAAATGACTGCAAAAAATGTTGTCTTCCTTGCAAGAACTTAATGTTAAACCTATTTTAATGAATTGTTTCACTCAGTAATTAATTTTGTACACACCACGTTATCTAGTGTTTTCTCTGCTCTACATACTTAATGCAAATACTGTAATTGCTTCATTACTTTTCCATTGATGTGGTCATAGCAAGACTCCGGGACTTTGCTTGAAGCATCAACATTCAGGGAAATATCCATCACTTTGGCAGTGATTTCATCTCTGTTTTGCATCGAACACTGACCTTTCACACACATAAGAAAGGTTGCGAGTGGAAATGCATCTGAACATAATTAATGAATTTTCATTCCCCTCAGGCACCATAATTGCCGTGCAGTACAAGGTGTCAATGAGACAAAGTACACAGGAATAATTTAGTCACTTTCAATTAACTCCTGATAACTCCCCCCCACCATTCAAAAGGCATTCACCACATATTTCACTCACACGTGTTTTACATCTTTGCATCACTTACCTCTAAAATTTCATCAAAAGGTTGGAGTGGGATTACATCAGTTGGGAGGACTTTTAAAAAATGGCTGCAGCAGCTCATCAGCACCACCCATCCTTTCCAAAATAAGAAAAAAAACTTTTTTCCTACTATGGTTCCTTTTATTTCTAACATACAGTCGGTGAACACTACAGATCTTGACTCATAATGAAGCATCCTTGTTGTTTTCCATGACGTTAATGAAGGAAGTCTTCCTCCACACCTGTCATCTTCCTCATGTGTCTGTGTTGCACTTCACTTAACTTCACTAAACATGTTCTGTGTCGCCCCATCACAGCATCTATCATTAATATAATGAGAGGTCACGAGTACTACAACAGCATTAAAGCACAGCAGAAAAAGGCAGCAGCTTGAGAGAGCAACAATTTAACACTTATCCTTTACCTTTACGATGTGGATGAACTAGTTAGCATGATGATATTTTAATTTAGACAAGCTAAAAAAAACAGAATGACCTTTGGTGTTGCAGACACTCAGCAAGACTCCAATCGTGTGTGCTGCAGCTTAATGTGTCGCATAAGCCTGCAGAGATAAAGCTTTTATATCGCTTTGCTCAGATGTTGGGAAAAGACTTTGAAGAATCAGTGTCAAACCTGTTGTGGATAGCTCTCAGAATGACCTCAGTTTGGATGAACAGAGAATAATGGGACAGATGAGCTAACACAGGGATGGGCAACTTAAATGATGGAAGAGGCCACAATTTTTTTTTGACCCTACTAGAGGGCCACATAATGCTGCACACTTACTCAAATCATGTAATGAAACTGCCATTTAAAAATATTTGTGTGTGTGTGTGTGTGTG